AACCCAACACCTTATTACAGCATGATTAACTTATTCTAAATCCACTGATGGTTTATTACAAACCCTACTATTTTATGTTATTTTAAGTCAATTTCATTGTATAGTAATCATCTATATCTAGACATCGATTCATTACAATGGATAATTATTGGGATAGCTGTGGTGCAATTGGACGGGATCACTTCTGTGGCCTGGGCACCTCTTCTATAAACAGACGGCTAACGGAATTCCATCCGGTATACGCGTCAATATTACAGAACCCTTTGCAGTTTCCCACGTTGAAGCCAACACGTACTTGTCCCTTGTGGATCTTGTCACAGTGACCTTCAATATGGCGGACTCGATGGAGGTCTTTATTTTTGCCTGTTTGCATGTAGACCACTCCATCAATGGCGTTAGGGGACTGGCACTCAGCACCGTTGAAGGTAAAGAACCAGCGTTTACAGCAACCGTTACATTGGTGAATTCTGAGGACGCCATTAAAGTAGACATGGAGAAAGGTATGTTTGAACTTCTTCTGGAAAACACAATCCTGAAAAAAAATTGAGAGCGACCAACTATCTACAAACATTTCAAATTCACTTCATATTTAAGGTAAAATTATCACGAAATATCAAAACAAATTAAGGATTAAAGCCAAAGCATACTGTTCTTAGCTTGCCATGACACACAAACTTTGATCAGACCGTTGTCTTTGCCATCATTGATATTCTTCCAAGAACATTCATCGGACGGGCGATCGGGAGACCCGAAGGCAAACTTCTGACTTGGAAAAAAATAGCAAAATTTTACGCGCTGCATGATATGACTCGTGACCCGGCCTAGGGACAGGTCACGAATAAACAGCTAGTCCGACTTCACGCTCCAAGAGCGTCTAGTTGAAATTAAGAGGTGTATATAGAATCTGCGCGGTATATATTACTAGTCTGTCAGTGAGTATGCTAATATAAGCATAAGATGTGGACCATAAACACGTGTACAGAGAGTGATAAATTTTGGTCCAAAAGACGTTATTTTTGGTTTGACCTGGTTTGTCAGGATTTGATTTTTGATTAGTAGTAACTCTAGTAATCTTCGCGTTTTGCTTTTCAAGGTATCAAATTTTTCATGGTAATACAGCGAAAATATTGTCTTTTATAAGTTAGTTTGGATAGTAATAACAATCGCACGTATATAGTTTGGACGCGGAACAATTAGAACAATTAGACACAGGAATCCCAACTATTCATGA